TTGAAAAAACCAAATGTCGCGTTGTAACTGGCTGGAGCTGCCGGCTCGATGGACGCTAGTATTCGCCTCTGTTGTATGCCGAGTGACGTTTTTGCACATACGAATTATCTGGTCACAACCCAAACTTCGAAACCTCTGGTGGGATGTGAGATGCGGCCATGTGTGGGTGAAGCCGCCGTCATATGGTAGAGGTGGCAGAAAGTAGTTCTGCTCTCAATACGCCCACAAGGGGTGGACCAATGTTTGCGGCAAGAGGTATGGCTACCCAGGGTGCGACGAGCAGCCATCCGATGGATACATGGTTTGCTTGGCGAACGGCATCCTAAAACCTTTTTCATAATGTGGACGGCTGTCCAGGCGATACACCGAATTACCCATTAAACGTTATGCGTACATGATGCATGCACGTATGATGGAGGCGTGATGATGTATTTCACCTTGCATGGTTTCGTCGGCGTGGTCACGACATGGCGAAGAGGCGGGGGTCACACATGTTGCTACTGTGCTTGATTGTTTGGACTGGAAAGGTGGAGAGGGATCCTCTCGGGTTTCGAGTCCGAGTCGGGATGCCGGGTTGAAACGATGTGGCGACACGCCCAGCTCCATGCCACGCAATCCATCCATCCACGCTGGAACCTCACAGACGAGGGAAATATCGCAACACTTGGTGTCTTTTATCATTGCACATGGCTGACCAGTAGACTATCATGTGTTGAATGAGCGTGCGTGGAGAAGGGACCGGTCTTTTACCGGTCGCCTGTTGGGCTTCCAATACAAGCACCTGTATTTGGCACAACACGTTGGTGCACCGAACGTGGAACCGCCCAGGTGGTCTGAACTAGAACTTCCCCAGGTAAAAGCCAAACACCAACAAGTTCGCCGCAGGACGCGGTGCGCAATATGTACACCACATACACCTCGCCCACCACATCTTTTCCCGCGCTGAGTACAACGCCAGAAGCAAAACCAAAAACAAAACGATTCCTGCTAGGCATTGTTTCACTTGTCGTGACATTCCACATGCAGCGTGATCCGAGACCGCAAAACAACTGGTAGATGAAGGCACAAGCAAAACAACGATTCCGGACACATCCCCACACCTACCCTGGGAGGGGGACATTAGGAAAAATTTCCACGTGACCGAAAAAACGCCCCGGTTTAGAGATTGTTTAACACAAAGGTACGGCTGAGTCTTAAGCAACGTATATATCGGGATTTTGTTTGGTGGGGGGGGTCATTTGCTTAGCCCAAAAACATTTGGGCGTCCTACGCGTAGGACAATGACGAATTCCAACAACGCACTCCAGAGAGGGGCTTTAGGTCGACGACATCCACAAACTGCAGCCAATGGCGTGTGGTCATACACATAGAATACAACCTCTGCTCGCGTCCCAGAAACAGCGCGTGTGTTTCAGTTTTGATTGCACACGGCCTGCAAACGTGAACCAAAATGTGTTTCGGTGTTGACTTTGTGTTTACTTTTTCTGGTTCCGCCGCGTGTTTGCTCCGTGTGTCACCCGCTACCAGTCAAAAATGCATACCAGAGGGAGGCTTTAGGCGGATGACATCCACAAACTGCGGCCAATGGCGTGTGGTCATGCTCATACCCTCTGCTCACGTCCCAGAAACAGAGCGTGTTGTCCGTTTTGATTGGACACGGCCTGCAAACGTGTACCGAACTTTGAATCGATGTTAAAACTTTTTGAACCTTTTTCTTGTTCCGCCGCGTGTTTGCTCCGCGTGTCACCCACTACCAGTCAAAAACGAACGCCAGAGGAAGGCTTTAGGCGAATGACATCCACAAACTGCAGCCAATGGCTGTGGTCATACACATCTACCCTCGGTCGCGTCCTTGAAACGGAATGGTTTGTTCAGTTGTGATTGCACACGGTTTGCAACCGTGAACCGAGGTGTGTTTCGTTGTTGACTCTTTTGTACGTTGCACGTTCTTCCAGTTGCACCGCGTGTTGTCAGTCCACAAAGCATGCCAGAGAGAGGTCTATGGCCGACGACATCCGCAAAACTGCAGCTAAAGGCTTGCCATCATACACATGCCTTCTTGCAGGCGACCCCAAAACAGGGCGCTCTGTGTCTTGTTGGTCGCACACGAGCCGAAACCGTGAACTGAAGCATGCTGTGACCCACGAAAACGTGAGCTGACCTTTTTTTCCGCGGGGAACATAATCTGCCTCGAGGAGCCGTAAGAAGGTCGCTCGGATCTGAATTATTTTCCACTTGCAAACATCCCCCCTCAGACAGAGAGAACAAGAAATATCCCCGAAAAAAACGGTGCTGAACTATTGTTTGTTATTTGTCACGCGTCTGGTCGATATTTGAGAGAAGCCTAGATCCTGCCGTATTGTCTGAAATCGGACCCCTCGCATAGAAAAAAGGCATCAGACACAAGCCCAAACCTGAGGCCACCATGTCCTGGGAAGCGGGAAGCCGCTGCTTCAGCGCCCAGATCACACCCACCCGCCAGACTTTCACGACGCCCGTGCAGGGTCTGCGGAGGCTTAACTCCACGTGGTGTGGACGACCCACATGGGGACCATGACGAGATGCAACATGTTGTGCGACAGCTGTTACTACAGCTGTTTGTGCCCCCCCGCAATCCCAGCCTTAGCATTCTCTCCTGCCTCTGTGCGACGTTACAGTACGGTGCGTATTCGCTCTTCCAAGCCAGATTGCCCTACGAACATGCATGCGGTAGGAGACGTCATGCATACCACACATTTTGCTCGGCAATATCCTGGACTTCACCATACTGTAATACCGTTCCTGCCAACCCCGATTACGATGGTGGGCGCACGACTGCTGCCCCCCGGGAGTCACCCGTTCCGCCTGGTTCAGACTGATCGAGCTCGTTATCTCAATCCAAGACAATATTCCCACAATATGTGTATGCCCCACATGTACATGTTTGATGATTGTTTCGTTATTGTTTTGGCTCGCTGTCACTATGGTTTCATATCTGTGTCCATGTGTCGAGCGAATACAACAGCGAACATGATACACTTTCGTCCTCCATGAAAATCTTCACGTGGCAGCCAATTTACTTTCATGTTCTCCATGAATATGTCCACGTGGCAACTGAATTACTGTGATGTCCTCGATGAGTATCTTCACGTGGGAGCGTAAGCAAGGTATCCGGTCTTGAATGACCTAAACTAGCGTAGTTTGGTACGGTTTAAGAGGAACTCTCGCTTATTCTGGTATTCCAAGAGGAACCGCATTTACTAGAGATACATGATGGTGTTCCGACCCTCCGTTAAACCCTACCACCGCTTCGAGGCCCCGTTCCCTGGCACTTGAGGTGTGTTGCTCCCCTCCGTTCTCTTGATATTATTGGTGGGTCGTCTTGTGCCTCTACAGTAGGTATTGTGTGGCGATGAGGCGTCCAGTGTCACTCTCTTTGCATGCAGGGGGGGGGGAGTCCCCGCTTCCGTTCTCAAGACCGAAGCTTTTCAAGAAAAAGGTGTCGAGCTTGGGACTACATACATCGTCAGTCCGACATTCGTTGCAGAAGACACCAGTAAGTCGTATACGGACACTCCCCAACGTGTGGCGGGGAGGACCAAAACACGAAGAAGGTTTCCGAAAATGAAGGAATGTCTGATGAAGGGTCGGACGTAGAGCACCCCCGGTGAAACCACGTACAGAAGAGTGCGGAACGTGAGTCGACTCGAGCCCCGCCGATGATGTCCTGGTTTCCTCCGGAAGTCTTCGCACCCAGCAAACCCAATATGTGTCCCATGGTATCATGGAGGGGTTGGAGATTGACAGAGGTTGCAGTGTCTGGAACAGTTTATTTTCGCTCGCAGGCTGAGATTGCCCGGCGACGAGGTGGCAGACAACCTGGACTCCAAACAATACAGATCAGACGTTGATGTTTATCGCACGAATTTCGTGGATGAAAATGATCGTGTTCAGTGAAATTGCCGGGCGACGAGGCGGCAAAGAACGTGGACCTGATGTAGAGATCAGACCTCGATAGTTTGCACGGACTTCGTGGGATGAAAATGAAGCGTTTTATTAGCGGTCTGCCCTGTGACTGTCTTCTGCCCTCTCGGTCATGATGACCGGGTCGCTTTCATTCATTGACGTACGACTCCCGACGGAGAAATCCGCAACAACAGTTCGGTCGCGCTCGTGCTGTACTGATGCGATCTTAGTGTGTCTACCCAAGGGCACACGCGAGCAAAACCTCAACACACAGAGGCCCGCAAAACAAAATCTGGGGTCGTCAGGGGTGCAGGCACACGTAACAGAGATTCCTGGGGTTTAAGCTGACGCATCTTCGCTGAGGCGGGCTCGTACATACTCCGTAGACTCCAACAACCAGAGATATAGATCCCCCGCATCTAGACTACTTGCTGAAGCGTTTTCGCTGAGGTTTCGAGTTCCTCTGTGTGTGCATGTCATCTGTGGGCCTGGAGACTGCTGTGGGGTGAGCAACACCCCGCGCTGCCCCCAGGGTTGCCTTGGGCAGCCTCTAGCCCGCGTGTCGCCCGTCTGGCCGAGGGTGGCCCGGGAATCATTGTCTTTGTTTGCTTTTTCGCTTGCGCTAACTTGCGCGAACACCGTTCAATTAGAAAAGCCTGTCGTGGAGGACGAGCCTCGATGCAAACAAACTACCCGCTTCATATAAACCCAACCACACTCGCCACCGCACACACACCTACCTGCTGCCGTTCATTTGGACGTCTCGTACGTGATGTACAGAAAGCGCCAACATCATACATACCTACAATAGCAATTTGTAGGCCGATTTTGTGCCGCTGGTTGCTTTTATCTGCGTATCCAACGTCTACCGTGGACACACAGGTTCCGGGAGTGGGTGGTGGGATCGTGCAAGCTTACAATATGTATGTACGTATGTAGACTGTAGTTTATTTTAGATGTTTTTATTCTTCTCTTGGTTTTCGCGGAGAAGGCCAGGGCGAAAAACTACAGTTCATAACGAAATCAGGTCCCGGCCCGGGGGTCGGTTCGTTGGCATGGGCCTTGGAATTGACACGAGGTGCGCGCAAGAACACAAGAACGGACGATATGTTGGAAATGGCCACGCCTTGGCGCCACGAACCCACAGGCTCCTCGCACGGCGGAAAGACGTTACATCCAGGTATCCAGGTGTCCTGCCTCCATGGACCAGCTCGGCATCAGATAGATGCACTGATTGGCCGAGGTCAACATTCCAGCTGGCACCCATCAAAATATGACGGGAGGCGTTCCACGGACCCCCTTCTCGCTTCTCGCCCTACACTGGCTGCTCTTTGCCGTCTGCTCCTCCCCCACAGCCCACGGCACAGGCAAGAGGAACATTTCCAGAACAACTCACCAGGAGTGAAACAGCAGCCGAAGAAGGGAGCACCTGTTCTCTCATCGTTTGATTGGTGGGGCATTTGTGCTTCCACAATCGCACGAGCACGCCTTCTTCACCCATCCAACAAGCCGTCTGCCGACACGCTCGCTCGTAGCGTGGTATTCTCCGGCAGGTCGAGGACGAGCAGTGGGGATCCTTCCCCTGTCGCACCTTGCTCTCTCCCTTTCTTGGTGAGTCGCAGCCCTGCGCAGGTTTCCAGAAGTGTCGCGTTGCTGGAGAACTGAGCTCATTTCCTAGAGCAACGCCTCACGGGTGGGGGCGTGGTTCCAGGATTTGTGCCCGCCGTAGGCCGCTGGAACCCTTTTTATTGTATTGGACGCCCAAATATGGGGACATTTTGGGGACACTGCACTGAAAAGTCTGCTTACCGCACTGTAGCCATCCGCTGTGTGAAACTTGCGTGGGGAACCTCGGTCTACCATGCTTGTGTGAGGTTGTACGCAGTTTGGTATGCTGGTGCGTGATGCCTGTGTGTCTCTCCTCGGCCTCTGACATGCTGTAAACATTATCTCCCAAGCCGCGTGTCCCCTCTTGGTCAAAGTCTGCATCGCCTAGGTCTGCATAAATGTGGTGACCTGGCTTCAGTATGGAAAACTTCCCCGTGCATTTAGGGGGACACGTTTATGTCTAAAACCAAGTCATCCTTTGTTCCTGTACAGCCTCCCTTGATGAGCGGATGCGTTTATGGTCAAGACGAATAACCTGCAACTATGTAGCTGGGTTCTTGGAGGGTCAACCGTTGCTGAATACCCGGCAGTTTGAGTGACTCAGCGAGGCTTCTGGTCAGTGATCGAGGAGAAAGCTTGACAAGGAAAGTATGGGTGGGACCGCAGGCCCGCCTCATCCACTCTACAATACTTCGATGAACGATGGGGAATGATCCTAGGCTAAGAGCAATAATGCAAAAGGGAAAATCGGGTCTACGAACGAATTCAAATTCGGCACGAACAGGAATCTATGTAGATGTTGCCCCGACAGCATGTTGAAATTTTGCATACAGCCAATAATTGTCTTTCTCCCTCCCGTAAATACGCGAGAGCACCGGGTAGAAAAGTATTAGTCTACTGTAGACTGTTTCGGACTGGAGAATCTTTCAGGACCTCCTGTGCGACCAGACAGAGGCACTGGACCCACCCTAGACACTAACCAACCACATGGCTAAAGGCGCATCATATACCACCTTAGAGCTGCAGACATGCGGAGTGTTTTGGGCTAGCGCGCCCTCTGCGTGTTGAAACACTGACTTGACCTAAGTAAGCACACCAATCATCAGAGCAGCAAGTATATAAAGAGAGAAAGAGCGAGGTCAGCCAGGGATTGCCATTCGCTGCTGCTGCTGCTGCTACTGCTGTAGATGGACAGGCAGGCAGGCACCAACAACGGCAACACACAAACACCCTTGCGCAGCAGTAGGTTTACGCTCTGCCGTGAGTGACAAGGAGGACCTTCGCGGCCCTGCTTCGGGTGCTTGTGCGTGAGTCATCAGGCCGGAATTGTTTGCAACCGTTCTCCTGCCCTTGATCAGGTTTCGCCCCACCATCGGCAATGGCAAAGACATCCCGCGCTCGAGATGGCGTGGGGGTTGTCCGCGGTGTGTAGCTTGGACAGTTTTAGGTTCATTGCGTCTGCCTTCTTCAAGATAACGGGGGCGATGTCTGCGAAAGTCCCCAACAAACAGCGGTGGCGTCAGGCCTGTTAAATCTGAGACTTTTGGCATCCAGGACTGGTCCCAGCTACGATGCAAATTTTGTTTACAAGTGACACATTGACGTAAGTCTGGCACCCAGCAGACCTACATTTCGCTTTCGTTCAGCGCAACAACACTCAATCGAGAGAGAGACAGAGGGAGAGCGAGCGAGAGAGATAGAGAGAATCAACAAATGTTTGTGTATCAACCGCGGCAAATCGGCCTTCATCATCAGGGCGCAGCATTCAATGACACCTTCTTCGCTTAGTCCGCAGCCCGACGATCGTCGTTTGTTGTCAGCGATACCTCACAAATATATGGTCACACGGTTTGAACCAATGCAGCGGGTATTTCCAGTCTTTTGGTGTCGCCCCCGTTGTTTTTGATTTGGTCTTTATATTTTCCAAGGCCCACGCCAGCATGCGTTGCCAACGTCGAAAACATTTTACATTTCCCCTGTACAGTATCCACCCACCACGGTAATGCACGGTTTGTTTCGGCGTGGTACCTGCCACGACGGTTCGTTTCGTTCGGGAACGGACCACCACAGTACGTTTCGCACATAACCCAGCCACCAGGACTTGGCGTGGTGTTGTTTTGGATGGTATCTGGCCGCCTTGCCACATATTTTTTCGGGGACCCAGCTTCCAACCCGCCTCGTCTGCACAATACTGCTCTCGCAGCCAAACCCAGAATGATAGCCAAAGATGTAGAGTAACGACCAGCACTGTCAGATTGTACACAACCAAGAAAATGAAAAATATCACCGTCTATCTCTTCGCGATCTCTTCTCAACCCAACATCGGAGCAGACATCTTTAAAGTTTTGACTGACGCGGATGGTACCATTCGATACATTGGGAGTAGCCGTGGTAGTCTGTGCTTAAGCTGGTAGTCGAGGCTACGCCCACTGCGGTTGCCGGCAACGCTTTTATTTTATTTTTTGGGAGAAAGGGCAAAGTTTAACAATCGATTGAAGAATGTGAACAAGAGGAGCTGTACGTAAGCCTTGAACTCGGGAGAGTCTAGCACAGACTCATCCCGTTGCCGCCTGTGTCATAGAGATATCCAGGCGCTTGTTAGACAGGATTGTATCCGGAACTTTGCGGCATTTGGGAAGTATACTTTTGCGGCGCACTTGAATTCGTGGTAGCAAGAAACCACAAAAGCACATGTTCCGAGGTGATTGGTTTGTTGGGAATGATGGTCGATTTTTTTGCCGTTTCCACATCGCCACGGTTATTTCGCGGTAGATGCACTGCGCTAAAGGTACCGAAGTGCCAGACAACCAGCAATACGGCAGGGAGGGCGGTGGTGTTGCAGTGAATGACAGCTAAGTGTCACATGTATGGCCGCTTTTCGAACCCTCCACTACGTTCAAGGAGACAACTCCTTGCTTGATGCAATCCTTGTTATACTGCACACAGGCTCCATATCATCTGCTAGGTTGAAAGCCGAGATCAGTGATTCTTCTGTGACATTTGCAGTGAGCCTTGCGTACGATAGGTTGTCAGAAGCTTGTCCCCCCTCTATGTCCCACCTACCAGTATCCTGCTACCTGCGGATGGAATTCCACCAGCCTGCTGCTTGAAACACACGCTGTTTCCTCGCGTGGATTCCGTTCACGCCTGATGTGCTTCTGTCGCGCAGCCCAGCGTGTCAGGCATGTCCAAATATGAAGGAGACAACTACTGCACACTACAGGCCACCACAGATACCGGAGAGGAACAAGCGTCATCACGCCTCGGCGATGCGGTTTCAGAGGTTGGAAACACCGATCAGGAGAGGCAAGAAGAAGACGAGGTAGGTGTCCCAGGGTGTTTAGTCTCGTGTGGCGTTGGTTACTTGAGTTAGGGTTGGAGAATTGGATTGATTGTCTAGACGACCCAAATGATTGCTAAGGGCCTTCCGGGTGTTGGCTTGGAAAACGCGCACCTGCATCGTATGTTCATGGTGTTGACTACGTGTCCATTGATGCCTGTTTGGTGGAGGATTTGTTGCCACCCGCGCCGGTTTAGGACCGTCAGAAGGCCAGCGTTTGCTTGGTATTCAACGGTCATTACGTCACGCTACTCCACCTACTTTGTCATTCCAAAGGAAACAGGCCGCCACTGTTTGCCCCGTCGAGACTAATTGAAAGCAGCACGTAGCCGGAAGATTGATTGTACAAATAGCTCTGGAGGGCTTTCGATTAAAGGATTTTGTGTGCCTTAATGTTGCACTTCTTTCGTTCCCCTCACCACCAGCTCGAAGGGTTGTAGTAATTGTAATTTTCTTGCTATTTAGCACACCGTGCGGTGACCGTCTGTAGTTCGGTGACGTCAACAGGCCACTCCCGGCATCGATGACACCGACGTGAAAAAAGAGCCGGAGGAGCTGGAACAAGAAGAGGAGGTAGGCTGTAGCGTTCATGGCCGATATGCTGTGTTTTGGTGTGAGATACGTGATGCATATCGCACCGAAAAGCTACTTGTGGAGCTCGTGCATTTTGCTCCAAGAGCCGATGATTACGTCATTTTGCAGAACCGTCAGTACGACAGCGTTGGAGATGACCGTTCTTCTTGACATCATGATGTTCAACATTTTCGCACGCGGATGTGCCAGAGTAGACCCATCTCATTCAAGCCGCTACGCGCCATCTCTTTATCTTGGACTGCAACGTGGGTTCTGTCTGGGAATTTTCTTCGTGCCCTAGCCTACACGTTGCTTGCGCGTTCCGCACGAACAAGCAGAGTTAGTACATCCACCTTTGGTAGCAAATGCTGCGGCTTGCTTGATAACACCTGATGGTCAGGTAGGTTACGTCTTGCTGCGTAACCGCAGGGTCGTCTTTTCTGGACGGTGTATGAGGCATCAGCAAGGCTCATTCTTTGCAGTTGTCGGATATCTCGCTGCAGGCAAGGCCACGCAAGCGCGAGTTCGGGGGTATGGCCAAGGCTCTCTGCCGGTACAGCGCCTGGACAGCTAGCAGCCGGCAACCCAACCACGCTGAAAGGTAAACTGTGATACACGAGTGCGAAGTAAAAGGTGTACTAGAGTGGCTAACACACAGAGGCTCTGGTCAACAGCGTGTACTTGTGATCCTTGCGAACATCGGGATCTATTTTGGCTCTAGTTCCTAACCAGCGGAAAAATCAGTCCCTAGATGTTACACACCATACGGCCCCGGTAGTATGTCTTTTTTCCCCTCAGTGCCGGTTCAACATGATCATAAGCAGCCTGCACAGCCACCTAGCGGGTGCAAGCGGGTGCCCTCACCTAGACGGTAGCCTCGACGTTCAAATTTGATCAAAGGAAACCGCGATTCTCTCCCAGGAGGCCACATGCTGCAGACGTCTCGGAGCACGATACGAGATTCGCTCCTCCGCCTCTCGCAACACTACATGTTTTTACTGACAGCACACACACAACGTAACCGCAACCGAAGCCTTCCACTGCTGTACAAACCCAGTATCCCTCTGATTACCCTATGGTTGTCGGGTGTGCATGGTCGTCCTCGTTCTCGTTCGTGTGTGATAACTATCTGTGTGTCACATTCTCCGTCAGGGGGAGCTTGCTGGTTAGATAGCGCCCAGCGTCCGTTGGTGATTGAGGAATTGATTGGCGCGATCGATGGCAATGTCGTAAACACAATCAACCACCTTTAGCCAACGGCGCGGGCGAACTCGTTTCACCCAGAATCTTATTTGTTCCCTGTGTGCAAATGCCGTTTTCCATGTTGCCCCCGTCTGGACGTATAGAACGGCTGCTGCTGCAGATAGCGATGAAGTCATTTCTATATCGAGGGAAGGTATTTTCACCGCCAATTGTTTTTCTGTAGACTGCCCTTGCTGGGGAAACAGACGAGGTATCGCTTCGGGCGGGGCTGGGAGCTACACCTGAAATGTTTTGCTTGTTGCTGCTGCTGCGCTTCTTATGGTGATCACGGGAACTATCGCTAGGACCCCTACAACCACCCACGATCTCTTCTCTCCGCCTCCTATTTCAAAGCGTTGAATTTTGTCGGTTTCGAGCTGACCCAGAATTCATGTGCAAACCAACGGATATTATTTATGGCCAGGCAAGGGGAAGGCATAGCCCAAATCGCCCACAAGCTGGACCAGAATGGGTGCCACCATTTTGGTTCTAATTTGCTGTCCCATCTTATGTTGGGCGCCACCATTGTGCATACCCCTTCCTACATGCTTGACACGCCAGCTCGGCCCACACGAATGATAGTACCACGTTCTACCTGCGGTGCAGGCGTTCAACGTTTATGGGAGAAGGGTTCAGCAGTGACTTCCCGCATTGATGTGCATACTCACTAAATACGTGTTGCTCGCGTCTGCGTTGCAAGTTCAGTCGGTTGGGGGCTATTCACACCCGTGACCTAGTTCTCATGTTTTCAGAGTTGGGCCACCCAGCTGTTGTTGCGTGCCCAAGATGACCCTACATGTAACATTTACCTGAAGAACTCTTTCTCGCGCACCTGTGAAGCCTGGGAGAGTTATCGCCGGTGCTTAGTTTGGCCGGCCTGATCAACCCCGCTCCACACCCTGGAGGCGTGAGGACGGCGTGAGATTGTCTAGAATAGACAGAATCATATTTCCAAGCGACCACCGAAGGAAAAATGCACAATCAGCACGACAGTGGTGCGCTGTGCCCGTGTCTTTCCCTCCGTTGGCCCTTGCGATGCCGGGGAGCTCTCTGTCGGGCTCACCACCGATCTGGCGAACATCCCCCCTAAGCCCAGATGTTTAGATGTGGGGACGGTTAGGCCGGGTCTCAAACAGATTGGCACCCCAAGACTTCGCACTCGGATGAAGACTTAATCTGGAAAAATCCGCAGAATTATCTGTGGTGTGTCCTGACCGCTTCCAAAGTCATACCTTGAGGTCAAGTGTAGTGTGCGGCACGACAACGACTAGCCTTTGGGTGATGGCTGCGCGGGTTAGGGTTGCATGGGGCTGCGGCTGCGGCCAGTGAACCTCCCGAGCGGCGCGGTCCAAAGACGACCCTGGCGCAAACTCGGCGGGACGGGGGCAAAACTACTCGAGAACGGTGGCATAAGCCGCGATTGATACCCGTGCGGCACCGGTAGCCACTGCTCCTGTTGGTTTTTTCCCTGCCATGTATACACCAACAAGCTTGTGGTCGTCTTGTCTGAATGTTATTAGTTCAAATGGTAGTCCAATCTGGCATAGGATAATGAGACACGAGACCCAAATAGCTGCGAACGGCCCGCACTAGAACCTAAGGTAGTGTTTATCAGAGCCACAGAGAAACGCCGACAGAATGCCCTCTCTATGGTGTGCGTACTATATTTTTCTCCTCTGACGCGTGACGCTGGTACCTCTCTGTCCAGGGGTAATCATGTTCCAGTATCGGCTGGAAAGAAGCAAAATAGGCCGTTCTCTCGCGATACATCTCGACAAGCACGGCGTCCATTTACACACGAGTTGCAGCGGTAGCTGTGTAGAAGGCAAGAGAGCACATAGTTTGGTCTGTCCGCGCTTCGGGGTGATTGCCCGTACAAGTATGTCACCCTCTCGATCAATTCTGCTGGCAGTCAGACACACAAGCCAACATGCAGCGTCTGCGTTATATCATAGACCTGTCACTAAGCACGTACAGGAAGGAAGGCCAACAGCAGTCGTGTGTAGCAGCACCAGTGGTGATTGGAGTGGCACGCCTGTAGAGAAAGGCGGTGCTGCCATGAGACACGGTACTTGCTGGTTGTGTTCGCCGTGCGAAGAACTTGCCTAAGGCTGTACGATCCCCCCCCATACCCCAACGGCAAGGAATCACCCCCCCCTCTCTCTTTGTGCGCATTCCTTCGGTATTCCCATACCAAATATCCACAAGGAACACCAAAACAGTGATGTAGTGCCATTGCCCCGATAATTGTGCCAGCTGTCTGCGGTAGTGAAGCTTCTGCGGATCAAGAGGACAGTCCCGTTAGGAATGGATATTACTGCTCCTTCTTTTGCATGTGTCTCTCTAATCTGCCCAAACGTTGTGACCCACGGTGTCATTTTCAACTCGACTTTCAGTTTTACAATCGCGTGCCGTTCCAACCCTCGCCGTTGTTTTCTTACCCCTCGCCTATGTTATTGTTCGGGTTTGGTGGTATTATGCTCCACAAGCGATTCATCCAAGCGCCAAAGGAAGGGCTCCGCGCCAGGCACAAAGGCGCAATGCGGCAGTGGTGGGGCAGCGGCTGCACACAAGACGGCGACGAAATTGGTAAGTGTCGTCGTTTTATGTAAATGCACTGTGAGGGTGCGGCTTGCCCATGCGTGCATTGCTTTGGTTTGTTGGTGACGTTACTCACACTGTTGTGGCTCCTTGCCGGACAGCTCTGATGGCGTGTTGTATAGAGTGTAGGTTCGGGAGGGTTGATGCCCGGAACCGTTTGAGTAGTGGTTATATCGAGCAGTGGAATTGTTCTGAGCTGAAATCGGTAGCGCGTTCTACCCTAGTCACGCTGCACCAGCGGATGTTGCCATTGTTTCCATATGTCCATCCATCTACTCTTGAAAGGTTTGGTTTCTGAACTGGTTCCAGGTATAGTGAGGGGATTACATGTTGAGTCTGTAAAGCGCATATTTGACCGCCCGTTGTCGAGGAAACAACGACAAGCACGATGGCGTCGAGGCTATTGACTGCTGGATGTCAGCGTCGTTGTGTTGAGGCGTTCCTGTTCCATTCAAGAAACTTGCTTCAACTGGTGAACGGACACCAAGAAACTACACAAAACGTGTTCCAACACGAAACGTGTTCCAAAACCCCAAGTTGGCAGGTCCAAGACTCACGTTGATCGTTCTCTCTAATGACGGACTCGAAACAGAGAAGCCACTCCGAGTCTACAGCAGTTTCGCGCAGCCAAGCTGTTTTGTTTCGATGTCTCTCAGGTCTTTTGCACAAAGGAGAACAGGGTGATTTCCAGTGGAATTGGTCGAGAGAGGAACGATGTCACACGACGAGACGAATCCCGTCGCTCCCGGCGGGTTTTGAATCAGGGACGTGGGAACGTTCGGTGTGAAACCAAAAGTGCGCGTTGCGTCCAGGAACTCACGCTTGAAGCACCGACCGCATAATAGACCCAAACCAGCCGCAGAGAGATACGGCTAGACAGAGGTTTTGGTCAGTGCTCACGTGAGAGGCAACCTTTTTCTTTGCAGCATGAGGCCATCTCCAGTGATCTTGGGACAACTGCGAGCGTAGCCTTGACGAAGAACGCGGTGTACAGGCATTGGCGATGGAACGCCTACGTCTTTTCTACCCCATGCGAAACGACATGGCGGACAGTCTGAACAAACCTAGAGAGGAAGCAGGGACACGCCGTCAGTGGGGTTGCGTGATGCATTGCATTGTCCCTCGTTGCTGCCCGATGCCGCCCGCACACTTGTGGGAACAACACCTGTTTGTCACTGGAATGCGCATTCTGCTCGGAATTTTTCCAAACCATAACGTTTCTGCAGTCAACACCTGTGATCGCCAGACACCGTGGACGGGGACAACCAAGCTGCGAGGAGATCGGCTGCTCAATGCGGCCATCGTACGGCAAAGACAACAGCAAGAAGGCGGAATTCTGCTCTCAGCATGCGAAGCAGGGTATGGTTAATGTCGTTCACAAGAGGTGCGGTCATACAGCGTGCTCCACCAGGCCGTCGTATGGTGACGCCGGCAGCAAGAAGGCAGAGTTTTGCTCTCAACATGCGAAGCAGGGTATGGTTAACGTTCGCAACAAGAGGTGCGGTCATACAGCGTGCTCCACCAGGCCGTCGTATGGTGACGCCGGCAGCAAGAAGGCAGAGTTTTGCTCTCAACATGCGAAGCAGGGTATGGTTAACGTTCACAACAAGAGGTGCGGTCATCCAGCGTGCTTCGCTAGGCCGTCGTATGGTACAGCCGGCAGCAAGGCGGAGTATTGTTCTCGGCACGCGAAGCAGGGCATGGTCAATGTCGATCACAAGAGGTGCGGCCATCCAGGTTGCATGAAGCAGGCATCATATGGTACACCCGGCAGCAAGAAGAGGGAGTTCTGCTCCCGGCACGCGAAGCAGGGCATGCATTGTGTCAGCAACAAGACGTGCGGTCATCCAGGTTGCATGAAGCAGGCGTCGTATGGTGATACCGTCGGCAGGAAGGCGGAGTTCTGCTCCCAGCACGCGAAGCAGGGCATGCTTAGTGTCGTTCACAAGAGGTGCGGCCATCCAGGTTGCATGAAGCAGCCGTCATATGGTGACGCCGGCAACCGGAAGGCGGAGTTCTGCTCTCCACACGCGAAGGAGGGCATGATTGACGTAAGAAATGGAATACGCCAGAGGTCACGGCTTACGGTATAACTCAGAGTGCGCTGTTACGCCGGTGTCCCAAACGTTGAGTGATGCGGGATGCACGATTAGTAGACTGCGCAAGCGTTCGACCCAGTCTTATTTAGTTGGCGTTGTGCTTATTCATGTCCATGGTCACGGTCTGGATGGTCGTGCAGGAGATGCACCTAGGCATACGTCCGCGTTTTTCTCCTTCGCGAACCTGTAGACAAGATGCAGGCGCGCGAGGGCGGCACAAGGTGCACCACTTGAAACAGCCAAGCGCTTGGAGGCGAAGTAGACGCCATATGTCGTGTCACTGCCTGTGGAGAAGTACCGAGGTTTGAGCGCTTGGTGTCATGATCAGTGTATTCACATGGGCTTAGCGGTGCCGAGAACAAGGGCACGTGTTAACGGGCTTGAGAGGAGCACCGTCGCCACAACACATACTCCCTCTGGGCCGAAATATAAGATCGATAAGGACCCCGGGCCACATATCTCGCGAAAACGTTGTTTCGCGGAAGTCCGGAGTTCGATCCCCCCTCAGAACCCATCTTTTACCCCAAAAAATCACGTAATTTTTTTCCAAAACATATTTCTTCCCTTGTCTCATTTTACTACCCTGACGCTTTGTTTCCGGTCAACACCAAAGATAAAGTACGAACAAATGAAAATTGCGTTCTATAGATAGGTCAAGATTACGAGGAAAAAATAACATTCGAAAAAAAAATTGGGGGGGGGCGTACGACAATAAAAACGACACGCTTGATTCCTGACAATTGATTCCTGACAATTTTCGCTCGAAATCATTGCCGTTTGAGTTACTATTCTCAGGGGGAGGGGATAAAACTTTATCATCCCGTTCTTTTTTTACCTGAAGCCGCGCTTATACTACCCGAGCATCATGGCAAAAAAAATCCCCAAGAAAAGGAACATCTAACCACCGAACCTAGAAACCGATCTTACATTTGGACCATCCCAACCAATCTTTTATTTCGGCCCAGAGGGAGTAGTAGTAAACAAGACTTTCGCACATTAATCCACACTCTGTTTTATCGCACCACGTTTAGTATGTGTGGGTGTGTGTTGTTTTCGGCATTTTTAGGTTCAGCTTTGGGGATGCCAATATATGATGTCGATGAAGGCTTGTACAGGGGTCCACTCACGCCCCTCGAGTTATTAGTTTGAAGCGGGTTAGAAGGCATTGATTTTGTTCTCCGACATGCTCCTATCGTTGGCGTCTGGAACGCGTTTGATATCCAGCGTGTGCAGAATCAAGAGTGTGATGCCATTGCCTTCGAAACGTGTCCCTGGGGTACATGCTTGCAGGGAGTGTGGTTGTGAGGGAGAGGACAAGAGATGGGGTGTCGAGTGTGAAACCACCCTAGAGTCGCCAGGATCCATCCAAAATGGCGTCAAGTGCAACCAGCTCACTGAAACCTGGGGCTGTAGGTGTTGGGTGTGCGCCTACAACCCCAGGACGACGAACGTGGCGAAGTGAACAGGGCGTATACGACAGAAAAACAGGTAACGAGCGCACACCTCCCATTTGTAACTTGAGGTTTCGGCTGAACATAAATATGAAAAACAGAGACCGACTACCTCGAAGGAGATACTTTTGTGTGATTTGGGTGATTTCACAGAAATCCTGGCACTCAAACTGAGACGGATTTCTCTTAGGAAATCCCAGGCCGAATGCATATCAGTCATTTCATCGTGTGTCGGGACAACGGGCAAGACACACGGTTTCTTTTCAAATTTCTGAACAGCCTCGATCAATCCTGGAGGGCAATTCCAAATGCGAAACTGCACTCCGACGGGCCCGGCGGACATGACACGAACGAGAAATTATCTCCGGAAGGCTCAAACATCTAAACTTGACTTTCGTGGGACGAAACACTTCTTCAACAAGTGAACAATAATGTGGAAACACGGGCTTTTCTCGCTACCCAGGACTCATGAGAAAGGCCAGCGATCAGGGCTGGCTCCTCTCAGTTGTCTGCAAGAGGCCGCCAGCATGCACAGGATCAACGCAGCATACAGTTCATTCATGAACACCAACCACACACAGCTTTCCATTCAATGCACTTACACCTGTTGGTTGCGCGTCTAAGCCGCTGCGAACTAATCGTAGGCGCCTTGGCATTATATAGCATGGCGACTTCTCGTATTGATCTCAGATCGCGCATCAAAAGAAATTCCTCCGATTCAAGGCCGTGACATGTTCTCCTAGCATACATCAGCCCGCCGCGGCGCTCACAAGAGCAATCAACTGCTCCAATTGTCCCATATCAACACCTTGGGACATTTAAGGCGAAAGGGGAGGGACACATCATCAAACAGCACATCCTGCACACGGCCCACAGACCACTTTGCCACAGCTACAACATTTCGTGGTTCCAAGACTTCACATCGTCACGAGCAACTTGTACAACGGCTTGCACTTCCCAACTGCAACCCCCTGTATGACTGGACCAGCCTTTGCCACATCCTGCTATGCCCTTACGCATCACCACAAAGCTTTGGCAGCCTGTACCAGGTATGATACTACTAAGGAGCCCTCCGCTTATCGTACTTGTATAACCTTCCGTCTAACAGTCGTATGGCTGATGCCAACGGAAACGACGACGAACGCCATAGCAGTGTGCAGGGGGGGATGACCCAAGCACATGCAATTACTAACAAGGTAAACTGAACCCAACGCAATAGCGACCACAAATGACCACGAAGTTCTCAACCGCAAATATATAGATAACCTTTCCTGAGACTTAACGTTCTTCGGATGTGTGACCATGACTCCGCAGGAATACCTGCATCCCGGCTATGTTCCCGGTGTAAGACAATCTTGTCCAAGGCATTGCTGAAAAAAACACCCATCATGGTACAGCCAATTGGGTACGAAACTCTCGTCCCAATACTTATTCAGGCACGGCATATCGCCGAGCTTCATGGTTCAATCGACTTAGGGAATACGCTCACTAAAACAAATCCAAAACCTGAAGACAAAGAGCATCAAATACAAAAACGTACGACCCGAATGAGAATGAGGCCACCAAACACACCATGGCCATCACTTCTCGTACTCTCACGCCGCGTTGCTGCTGGCTAGGAAATCACGCTGTTCGGCTGGACGACAGCAGTGGTAAGCGAGAATCCCGACCATCCCTATCGCGGCCACCACCGGCGCCGTCGATAGCACTGGTATCAGTTATCACGATCTCGAAACCGTCAGAGTTGGAGGCAGCGGCGGGCAATGACTCCCATTTGGACGGGGACGGGGCTATGGCGTTGCCCGCTAGCGAAGCGCTGCGGCGCTTGACCAAGGTGCCTCGGATGTTCGCCCTTGGAGGAGAATCAGTGTCGATGTCGTGCTTGAACGACGATCCGGAGATGGAGAGACTTCGACGATGTCTGCCACGTTGGGTAGGAGGGGGGGTGGGGTGGGTAATCGATGTGTCGACGTATGCTGTCGGGCTCAGGTGGCCCAGCAGCACCAGTACGTAGGGCGTTTACCCCAGCTTTCAACTGACCATCGCCACAACCCGTTTGTCCGGGTGTTAGAAACTAGCGGGTGGGGTTCCATGGGCATTCGGTGACCGCAAGGGGCGCTTGACAGCACTTGGGCGAAAGGGTGCATGCAGGACCTGCTTTCGTTGAATATATGAAGGTTGCGCGTAGATGAATTTGCCATTGATGTTTCCTTGAACAAAGCAGTCGGTTCAGTCAGAGAGGAAAGGCCGTCGGGGTAGTAGGGGGAGACTATGAGCGGCATGAAAAATTTAGTCAAAAACAACTTGGGTCGCGGTACGAACCAATCTTTGAGGCTGTTGTCCCCAAGTTTACGTTTCGTCATTTCGATTATATTGTCCAACCCTCGTTCGTGTGACGAGCACGATTATTACTATCAATCGATCAGTACACACGCCCAACAACCTGATAACAACCCTCTCCAACAAGTTATGTAACATAATCGTCGGGTAAAACCATGCCTCAACACCAGTTCAGTCTCCCATGTAGCATCAACACGGACGCTTCTGTTAATCCTACGAGTACCCAGTCCCTTCACAAAAACAGTGGCGCAAATTGTTTTGTCAGTCCTTGGTCGGCGGGCTACAGTCCCTCCAAAGCATCTGAGCTCCTCGTCAGACAAAGGGTGACTTGGCTTCAGTATTAAAATTGAATTGTCGCCAAAATACGTGGGGACACTTTTCATACTGACGCCAAGTGAGCAACGTTTTCCAGTACCAGGCGATGTACAGTTAGCCTATACTCAAGGTTGAGTAATATACTCAAAAGTACTTGCGTATGAGATTGCTATACTAAACATTCCCTTGGCTTGCATCCTCACCTCGGCGTGGCCATCACGTCCACGTTTTTGAAGCGGAGCGACCGCAGTCGTAGTGCCACGCCGACCACCACGCCGGCTATCTCCGCTCCACGGATGGCCTTGGACAGGCCTCTCAACGATGGCAGTGCTGGCAGCACACACAGAGCCTTCTCGCATACGATTTGTTTTTATCGCGAGGGCACAGGCCCCGTGAGCGGAGCGGAGCAGGGGGGGGGGGGGGGGGGGGGGGGGGGGACCCCAAACCGGGCTGGCGCAAACCTTTTGACCTTTTCCCCCCCCCCCCCAAAAAACGGGGGGGGGAAACCCGGGGTTTTCCCCAAAAAGGG